TACAGAGTGAGTGGAGTTTGTGTGTTCTAGCCCTGTTCTACAGAGTGAGTGAGTGGAGTTTGTGTGTTCTACCCCTGTTCTACAGAGTTAGTGAGTGGAGTTTGTGTGTTCTACCCCTGTTCTACAGAGTGAGTGAGTGGAGTTTGTGTGTTCTACTCCTGTTCTACAGAGTGAGTGAGTGGAGTATGTGTGTTCTACTCCTGCTCTACAGAGTGAGTGAGTGGAGTTTGTGTGTTCTACTCCTGTTCTACAGAGTGAGTGAGTGGAGTTTGTGTGTTCTACCCCTGTTCTACAGAGTGAATGAGTGGAGTTTGTGTGTTCTACTCCTGTTCTACAGAGTGAGTGAGTGGAGTTTGTGTGTTCTAGCCCTGTTCTACAGAGTGAGTGAGGGGAGTTTGTGTGTTCTACTCCTGTTCTACAGAGTTAGTGAGTGGAGTTTGTGTGTTCTAGCCCTCTTCTGCAGAGTGAGTGAGTGGAGTTTGTGTGTTCTACCCCTGTTCTACAGAGTGAGTGGGGTTTGTGTGTTCTAGCCCTGTTCTACAGAGTGAGTGGAGTTTGTGTGTTCTACTCCTGTTCTACAGAGTGAGTGAGTGGAGTTTGTGTGTTCTACTCCTGTTCTACAGAGTGAGTGAGTGGAGTTTGTGTGTTCTATCCCTGTTCTACAGAGTGAGTGAGTGGAGTTTGTGTGTTCTACTCCTGTTCTACAGAGTGAGTGAGTGGAGTTTGTGTGTTCTACTCCTGTTCTACAGAGTGAGTGAGTGGAGTTTGTGTGTTCTACCCCTGTTCTACAGAGTGAATGAGTGGAGTTTGTGTGTTCTACTCCTGTTCTACAGAGTGAGTGAGTGGAGTTTGTGTGTTCTAGCCCTGTTCTACAGAGTGAGTGAGGGGAGTTTGTGTGTTCTACTCCTGTTCTACAGAGTTAGTGAGTGGAGTTTGTGTGTTCTAGCCCTGTTCTGCAGAGTGAGTGAGTGGAGTTTGTGTGTTCTACCCCTGTTCTACAGAGTGAGTGGGGTTTGTGTGTTCTAGCCCTGTTCTACAGAGTGAGTGGAGTTTGTGTGTTCTACTCCTGTTCTACAGAGTGAGTGAGTGGAGTTTGTGTGTTCTACCCCTGTTCTACAGAGTGAGTGAGTGGAGTTTGTGTGTTCTACCCCTGTTCTACAGTGAGTGAGTGAGTGGAGTTTGTGTGTTCTACTCCTGTTCTACAGAGTGAGTGAGTGGAGTTTGTGTGTTCTACCCCTGTTCTACAGAGTGAGTGAGTGGAGTTTGTGTGTTCTACCCCTGTTCTACAGAGTTAGTGAGTGGAGTTTGTGTGTTCTACCCCTGTTCTACACAGTGAGTGAGTGGAGTTTGTGTGTTCTACCCCTGTTCTACAGAGTGAGTGAGTGGAGTTTGTGTGTTCTAGCTCTGTTCTACAGAGTGCGTGAGTGGAGTTTGTGTGTTCTAGCCCTGTTCTACAGAGTGAGTGAGTGGAGTTTGTGTGTTCTAGCCCTGTTCTACAGAGTGAGTGAGTGGAGTTTGTGTGTTCTAGCCCTGTTCACACAGTGAGTGAGTGGAGTTTGTGTGTTCTAGCTCTGTTCTACAGAGTGAGTGAGTGAAGTTTGTGTGTTCTACTCCTGTTCTACAGTGAGAGGAGTTTGTGTGTTCTACTCCTGTTCTACAGAGTGAGTGAGTGGAGTTTGTGTGTTCTACTCCTGTTCTACAGAATGAGTGAGTGGAGTTTGTGTGTTCTAGCCCTGTTCTACAGAGTGAGTGAGGGGAGTTTGTGTGTTCTACTCCTGTTCTACAGAGTTAGTGAGTGGAGTTTGTGTGTTCTAGCCCTGTTCTGCAGAGTGAGTGAGTGGAGTTTGTGTGTTCTACCCCTGTTCTACAGAGTGAGTGGGGTTTGTGTGTTCTAGCCCTGTTCTACAGAGTGAGTGGAGTTTGTGTGTTCTACCCCTGTTCTACAGAGTGAGTGAGTGGAGTTTGTGTGTTCTACCCCTGTTCTACAGAGTGAGTGAGTGGAGTTTGTGTGTTCTACTCCTGTTATACAGAGTGAGTGAGTGGAGTTTGTGTGTTCTAGCCCTGTTCTACAGAGTTAGTGAGTGGAGTTTGTGTGTTCTACCCCTGTTCTACAGAGTTAGTGAGTGGAGTTTGTGTGTTCTACCCCTGTTCTACAGAGTTAGTGAGTGGAGTTTGTGTGTTCTACCCCTGTTCTACACAGTGAGTGAGTGGAGTTTGTGTGTTCTACCCCTGTTCTACAGAGTGAGTGAGTGGAGTTTGTGTGTTCTAGCTCTGTTCTACAGAGTGCGTGAGTGGAGTTTGTGTGTTCTAGCCCTGTTCTACAGAGTGAGTGAGTGGAGTTTGTGTGTTCTACCCCTGTTCTACAGAGTGTGTGAGTGGAGTTTGTGTGTTCTAGCCCTGTTCTACAGAGTGAGTGAGTGGAGTTTGTGTGTTCTAGCCCTGTTCTACAGAGTGCGTGAGTGGAGTTTGTGTGTTCTACTCCTGTTCTACAGAGTGAGTGAGTGGAGTTTGTGTGTTCTAGCCCTGTTCTACAGAGTGAGTGAGTGGAGTTTGTGTGTTCTACCCCTGTTCTACAGAGTGAGTGAGTGGAGTTTGTGTGTTCTACCCCTGTTCTACAGAGTTAGTGAGTGGAGTTTGTGTGTTCTACCCCTGTTCTACACAGTGAGTGAGTGGAGTTTGTGTGTTCTACCCCTGTTCTACAGAGTGAGTGAGTGGAGTTTGTGTGTTCTAGCTCTGTTCTACAGAGTGCGTGAGTGGAGTTTGTGTGTTCTAGCCCTGTTCTACAGAGTGAGTGAGTGGAGTTTGTGTGTTCTAGCCCTGTTCTACAGAGTGAGTGAGTGGAGTTTGTGTGTTCTAGCCCTGTTCACACAGTGAGTGAGTGGAGTTTGTGTGTTCTAGCTCTGTTCTACAGAGTGAGTGAGTGAAGTTTGTGTGTTCTACTCCTGTTCTACAGTGAGAGGAGTTTGTGTGTTCTACTCCTGTTCTACAGAGTGAGTGAGTGGAGTTTGTGTGTTCTACTCCTGTTCTACAGAATGAGTGAGTGGAGTTTGTGTGTTCTAGCCCTGTTCTACAGAGTGAGTGAGGGGAGTTTGTGTGTTCTACTCCTGTTCTACAGAGTTAGTGAGTGGAGTTTGTGTGTTCTAGCCCTGTTCTGCAGAGTGAGTGAGTGGAGTTTGTGTGTTCTACCCCTGTTCTACAGAGTGAGTGGGGTTTGTGTGTTCTAGCCCTGTTCTACAGAGTGAGTGGAGTTTGTGTGTTCTACCCCTGTTCTACAGAGTGAGTGAGTGGAGTTTGTGTGTTCTACCCCTGTTCTACAGAGTGAGTGAGTGGAGTTTGTGTGTTCTACCCCTGTTCTACAGAGTGAGTGAGTGGAGTTTGTGTGTTCTACTCCTGTTATACAGAGTGAGTGAGTGGAGTTTGTGTGTTCTAGCCCTGTTCTACAGAGTGAGTGAGTGGAGTTTGTGTGTTCTACTCCTGTTCTACAGAGTGAGTGAGTGGAGTTTGTGTGTTCTACACCTGTTCTACAGAGTGAGTGAGTGGAGTTTGTGTGTTCTACCCCTGTTCTACAGAGTTAGTGAGTGGAGTTTGTGTGTTCTACCCCTGTTCTACAGAGTTAGTGAGTGGAGTTTGTGTGTTCTACCCCTGTTCTACAGAGTTAGTGAGTGGAGTTTGTGTGTTCTACCCCTGTTCTACACAGTGAGTGAGTGGAGTTTGTGTGTTCTACCCCTGTTCTACAGAGTGAGTGAGTGGAGTTTGTGTGTTCTAGCTCTGTTCTACAGAGTGCGTGAGTGGAATTTGTGTGTTCTAGCCCTGTTCTACAGAGTGAGTGAGTGGAGTTTGTGTGTTCTACCCCTGTTCTACAGAGTGTGTGAGTGGAGTTTGTGTGTTCTAGCCCTGTTCTACAGAGTGAGTGAGTGGAGTTTGTGTGTTCTAGCCCTGTTCTACAGAGTGCGTGAGTGGAGTTTGTGTGTTCTACTCCTGTTCTACAGAGTGAGTGAGTGGAGTTTGTGTGTTCTAGCCCTGTTCTACAGAGTGAGTGAGTGGAGTTTGTGTGTTCTAGCCCTGTTCTACAGAGTGAGTGAGTGGAGTTTGTGTGTTCTAGCTCTGTTCTACAGATTGAGTGAGTGGAGTTTGTGTGTTCTACTCCTGTTCTACAGTGAGTGAGTGAGTGGAGTTTGTGTGTTCTACTCCTGTTCTACAGAGTGAGTGAGTGGAGTTTGTGTGTTCTACCCCTGTTCTACAGAGTGCGTGAGTGGAGTTTGTGTGTTCTACTCCTGTTCTAGAGAGTGAGTGAGTGGAGTTTGTGTGTTCTAGCCCTGTTCTACAGAGTGAGTGAGTGGAGTTTGTGTGTTCTAGCCCTGTTCTACAGAGTGAGTGAGTGGAGTTTGTGTGTTCTACTCCTGTCCTACAGAGTGAGTGGAGTTTGTGTGTTCTAGCCCTGTTCTACAGAGTGCGTGAGTGGAGTTTGCGTGTTCTAGCTCTGTTCTACAGAGTGCGTGAGTGGAGTTTGTGTGTTCTACCCCTGTTCTACAGAGTGAGTGAGTGGAGTTTGTGTGTTCTACTCCTGTTCTACAGAGTGAGTGAGTGGAGTTTGTGTGTTCTACCCCTGTTCTACAGAGTGAGTGAGTGGAGTTTGTGTGTTCTAGCTCTGTTCTACAGAGTGCGTGAGTGGAGTTTGTGTGTTCTACCCCTGTTCTACAGAGTGAGTGAGTGGAGTTTGTGTGTTCTACTCCTGTTCTACAGAGTGAGTGGAGTTTGTGTGTTCTACTCCTGTTCTACAGAGTGAGTGGAGTTTGTGTGTTCTAGCCCTGTTCTACAGTGCGTGAGTGTGAATGTTCTCCGTTGGCCGAACCGAGGGCGTCTAACCGCTCGCAGCTCAGTGGGCACTGTCCCTGCTAAAACAAATCAACTTCACGAACAACAACAACAACAAAGTTAACACCCCCCAAGCAACGCCCTCCAATCCCCCGGCCCAGCCCGCACCACGCGGCGCCACTCACTGGAGGTCTCTCAGCGCCGTCTTCCCCACGACCCGCAGGAACCTCCACCCCCCCGTGGCCGCGTAGACCCCGAGGGAGAGCGCCAGCAGCCAGCCCCAGGCCAGCCCCGTGTGGACCCGCAGCACCAGCGCCGGCAGCAGCCGCAACGCCGCCAGGGCCGCCGCTCGCTGATTCTGTCCCCGCATCCTCCTCCTCCTCCTCTTTTCTCCTTCCTCCTCCTCTTCTTCCTCCTCCTCCTCCTCTTTTCTCCTTCCTCCTCCTCCTCTTCTTCCTCTTCTTCCTCTTCCTCCTCCTCTTCTTCTTCCTCCTCCTCTTCTTCCTCTTCTTCCTCTTTTCTCCTTCCTCCTCCTCTTCCTCCTCCTACCCTCTCCTTCTTCCTCTTCCTCCTCTTCCTCCTCCTCCTCCTACCACCACCCGAAGGGTGCCGACGCTGCTCCTTGGCACCTTGGGACGGGGTTGTGGGGGCAGGAGGGCAGGGCAGGGCAGGGCAGGGCAGGGCAGGGCAGGGCAGGGCAGGGCAGGGCAGGGCAGGGCAGGGCAGGGCAGGGCAGGGCAGGGCAGGGCAGGGCAGGGCAGGGGGAGATTTGACGGCAGCCCGAGGCTCGCTCCCCGCAGTTCTGGAGATGTGGCGGGGTGGGGCGGGGGGGAGCGAGGCTGCTGGTTTTGTTTACTTCACTGCAATCGACACCGCCGGCTAACGTCACAGCTTTCGGGTCATCTCTCTCTCCCCCACCCCCCCCCGGGCGTAGATGTCGCACAACGCGTAACGGGATACACGGCACGCCCGGACGTGGAGGGGCCCAACGCTTTCCTTGTTTCGTACAGACGCGAACGGCGATCGGACTTCCATTGGTTTTTTTTTATCGAAGTGGTTTTTATTTCGTCGGTTTTTACCGGGTGGCACAGCGGGGCGTAGAGACGGCGCCGTCGCACCGCACGGGGCTTTGGGATGCTGCTGGATGCTTCGGGACGCCGACGCTCGCCACGCGCCTTCAAGCCTCGTTTAGCCCCGCGTCGAACGCAGCTCACGCATTGGGTGTGACGCAAGTTGGGTGAACACTGTACCATAGACTCAGCACTGTACCGTAGACTCAGCACTGCACCATAGACTCAGCACTGTACCGTAGACTCAGCACTGTACCGTAGACTCAGCACTGTACCATAGACTCAGCACTGTACCATAGACTCAGCACTGTACCATAGACTCAGCACTGTACCATAGACTCAGCACTGTACCATAGACTCAGCACTGTACCATAGATGCAGCACTGTACCATAGACTCAGCACTGTACCATAGACTCAACACTACCCATAGACTCAGCACTGTACCATAGACTCAACACTGTACCATAGACTCAGCACTATACCATAGACTCAGCACTGTACCATAGACTCAGCACTAACCATAGACTCAACACTGTACCATAGACTCAGCACTGTACCATAGACTCAACACTGTACCATAGACTCAGCACTGTACCATAGACTCAGCACTGTACCATAGACTCAGCACTGCACCGTAGACTCAGCACTGTACCATAGACTCAACACTGTACCATAGACTCAGCACTGTACCATAGACTCAACACTGTACCATAGACTCAACACTAACCATAGACTCAACACTGTACCATAGACTCAGCACTGTACCATAGACTCAACACTGTACCATAGACTCAACACTGCCCATAGACTCAACACTGCCCATAGACTCAACACTGCCCATAGACTCAGGACTGCCCATAGACTCAACACTGCCCATAGACTCAACACTACCCATAGACTCAACACTACCCATAGACCCAATACTGCCAATGGACTCAACACTGCCCATAGACTCAGCACTGCCCATAGGCTCAGCACTGCCCATAGACTCAACACTGCCCATAGACTCAACACTACCCATAGACTCGGCACTGCCCATAGACTCAACATTGCCCATAGACTCAGCACTGCCCATAGACTCAACATTGCCCATAGACTCAGCACTGCCCATAGACTCAACAATGCCCAACAATGCAGAGACCCATAGAGATGCACAGAGACCCACAGAGACTCACAGAGACCCACAGAGACTCAGAGACCCACAGAGACTCAGAGACCCATAGAGACCCATAGAGGCTCACAGAGACCCATAGAGACTCACAGAGACCCACAGAGACTCAGAGACCCATAAAGACTCACAGAGACTGAGAGACCCACAGAGACTCACAGAGACCCACAGAAACTCAGAGACCCACAGAGACCCACAGAGATTCAGAGACCCACAGAGACTCAGAGACCCATAGAGACTCAGAGACTCACAGAGACCCACAGGGACTCACAGAGATTCAGAGACCCATAGAGACTCACAGAGACTCACAGAGACCCACAGGGACTCACAGAGACTCAGAGACCCTCAGAGACCCACAGAGACTCAGAGACCCACAGAAACCCACAGAGACCCACAGAGACCCATAGAGACCCATAGAGACTCACAGAGACCCATCGAGACATCGCGGCGATACACTCCGCTACTGCTCCTGATGCGGTTGTCTGGGCTTTGACCGCCTGAATGTGACAATTGTGGCCGCTGCTGCTCTGCTGCGTGATCATCATCATCAGCATCATCATCAGTCGACACAAGAATGCCGACGAAACACGGGACCCCTCCTGCACCCTCCCCACAGCGATGTTAGACAGACGTCGCTCTTGCGGGGAGAATTCGCAGTTTAAAAGACTCCTTCACTAACCCCCCCCCCCACCTCTACCCCCGTGAGCAGCTGAGGAAGTGTATAGTGTAGTGTATAGTGTAGTGTAGTGTATAGTGTAGTGTATACACTACACTATACACTACACTATACACTACTATACAATACACCACATTATACACTACACTATACACTACTATACACTACACTATACACTACACACTGTCTGCGTGTGTGTCTGTGTGTGTGTCTGTGTGTATGTGTCTGTGTGTATGTTGGTCCGGTGGACCGGTTCTGGCTCCTGCCACCATGAGGGGTGGACAGTCCTCTACTCGGGGCAGCAGACTGCCAAACAACAGGGTGTGGCTCTTCTTCTGAACAAAAGAATGAAAGGAGCGTGGTAGCGTGGTGGTGAGGTGTGGGAAGCTGTAAGCCCCAGGCTACTTTGGGCTCGCCTTCCCATCAACCGGAGGCGAGGGGTGGTGGTCGTGGTTACTTATGGCCCCACCGAAGGCGAACATCCGTGGAGGGATGCAGGCAAAGCCGATGAGTCAGATGCCTTCTATGACCTCCTGTCACAAGTACTGGCTAAAGTGGCCCCTCGGGATAGAGTCATCTTGTTGGGTCACTTCAATGCCCGAGTTGGTCATGATGCTGGCACCTGGTCTGGAGTGATTGGAGGGCATGGGCCGGATCAGCTCAATAACAACAGCAGGAGGCTGCTAGATATTTGTGCAGCCCATGGGCTTGTAATTACCAACACGCTGTTCCGGCATCGGCGCATCCACATAACATCATGGATGCATGCCGGGTCCAAGCAAGAACATCTGCTGGACTACATAGTGACAGACCAGCGGATGCGAGCCCATGTACTTGACACCAGGACCTACCGTGGAGCTGATCTGCCCTCTGACCATCGACTTATCATCTGTAAGATGCGCCTGCCATTCTTCCGCTCCGGTGGTGGGTGTACACCCAGGACCCCTTTCCAACCAAAAGTTGTCTGGTCTCAGTTATCTGATAAAAGTTGCAAGCGAGAATTTCATCATCGCTTGCGGCTGGGGTTGGCATCGTCCCCCACTCCTCCTGATGTGGAGGGTAAATGGGCGAGGTTTAGAACTGTAACTCATGCAGCTGCAATGGCTGCTTTGGGTACGCGGTCCAGACCTCCCCAGAGACCCTGGCTGACAGAGGAGGTGTTCAGGATGGTTGAGAAAAAGCGACAGGCCCACTGTCATCGGCTACAGAATCCCACGTCAGAGAATGAGGAGGCTTACCGCAGCCTTCGCTCGGAGGTTCGGAGAGCCGTGAGGCGCTGCAAGGATGGGTGGTGGTCGCGGGTTGCTGAGGAGATGGAGTCTGCCTCAGTGGCCCACGATTACAAATCTCTATTTAACTCCATCAAAAAAGTAACCTGCAGCGCCACACCTATTACCATTATTAGGGGAAAAAACGGTGATCCAATCTCCGACCCCCAGGAAGAGGTTTGCAGATTTGCTGAGCATTTCTGTGAGGTCCTGGGGGAGGGAAAATCCCTCAGCCAGGAAAACATCGTGGCACAAAGTGAGGATGACCCTGCTGAGGCTGCGGTGCCTCAAATATTGGAAGTCAACCCCTGTGAGTGGCTGGCTGAGGTGGCATTTGTTAAGGAAGTACTGAAGGCGATCCGGAGTCAGAAACCAGGAAAGGCAGCGGGTAGAGATGATCTCCCAAGCGAAATGCTGAGGGAGGGTGGTGGTTGTGCACAGACTGCCCTACATGACATCATAACAACAGTCTGGACCACTGGACAGATTCTGCAGGATTGGAAGGATGCCCTGGTGGTCCCCCTCTTTAAGAAGAGGGACCGCACAGACTGTAACAACTACAGGGGCATCTTACTCCTCAGTGTGCCGGGAAAGGTCCTGGCAAGGATTATTCAACATCGCGTTGCCAGACACACTGAGGAGAGGCTTGCAGAGCCCCAATGCGGTTTCAGTAAAGGGCGGTCCTGCACAGATGCCATATTTTCTGTCCGTCTGCTACAGCAGAGGTGTAGGGAATTCCAGCAAGACCAACATCTCTGCTTTATTGACCTGGTCAAGGCCTATGATACCATCAGTAGGCCTGAGCTCTGGGTTGTTCTTCGTGCTTTCGGAGTCTCTGATCCTCTGCTCACGCTCATTAAGGACCTCCATGATGGTGAGCGGGCCCGGGTAAAACTACGTGGACGGGAGTCAGAGCCATTCCCTGTACACCTTGGGGTGCGACAGGGATGTCCTCTGGCTCCCACATTATTTAACATCTATTTTGACCACGTAGTTCGTGAAGCCTTCAATAGCTGTACCGGGGGAATCTACATATGGTACAGATATAATGGGAGGCTGATCGATGCCCGGGAGCGGTCAAGGGATGGCTCCCTATTGCTCAACCAAGTTACGTAAGACGATGATTTGGTAATAGCTGCTCATTCAGAGGAGGAGTTGGAGACGCTGCTGCTGAGACTGGAGCGTGCCACTAAGAGGTGGGGCCTTACCATCAGCCCCACCAAAACTAAGCATCTGCCTGGGTATTTTGTACCATCGG